CAATAAAAACAAACACACAAAACAAAACTAGAACTCCCAACAACAACAACAACAACAACAACAACAACAACAACAACAACAAAACCTGACAAAAACAACAATAACAACAGTAGCAACAAAAAAAACCCAACCTCCCCCCCCCAACAACAACAACAAAAAACCCACAGGCCTCCTACCTGAGGAAGAGCAGGCTGAGATGAGAGGCAGTGACCAGGAGCAGACAACTGAGCAGGACCAGGGCGCACATGAAGGAGGAGCGGTCAAAGATGCCCGGACGAGCCGTCCAGGCGATGTACAGGGGCACGGTTATCGTCCCTACCAGGAAGTCCGCCACGGCGAGCGACGACAACATCAGGTTGGCTGACCGGCGAAGTGACCGGAAGCGACAGAGGGCCACCAGGACGAGAAGGTTCCCGAAGGCGCTGGTCAGGGAGACGAGGACCAGGTAGGACAGACGGAGGGCCGACTCTTCCGGTGTCATGGCGGCGTCAGGGGGGATCGGGGGCGGGGACATAAGGTCTGAGGTCATGGGGTCAGAGGTCAGGGGGGTCATGGACGAGCCGGAGACTGCAGCTTGTGTTGGTGTGCTGTTGGTGCTGCTTATGATGATGGTTGTCGTTGTTGTTGTTGTTATCGTTGATACTGTTGTTGGTGCTGTTATTGGTGTTGTTGTTATGTTCAGGACGTGACTTTCTATGATGAATGTAGTTTGTGGGTCAGAGAAGAGAGGATTTATGGGTGGTTGGCGCGTGCTCTGGTGTAGTTTGCTGCTTCTTTCCTGTCAAACCTCTATTGTCCTTATCTCTCCTCTTTCTTTTTTGTGTTTGTTACTCTCTTGTAAGACATATAATCTTCGGCATTTATATGAACTTATTGTGTTGCAAGTGCCGTAACACAATTACTAAAACTAAAAACAGAGAGTGTTTGTTAGATGGTTGGCTGGTTGGTTGGTTGGTTTATTAGTTCAAACTGACTGATTGAATCGAGTGACTGGTAGAATGATAGGCTGATTTACTGATTGGCTCCTCGATTCAAAAGCGTAAGGGAAACGGTAGCGGAGACTGGTCCGTTGGGTAGTGCTTGCATGCTTTGGTGGATCTGAAATCAGAGAAAAAGAGTATCATAATATTTGTGTCACGACGCGGTTGAATCAGGCGCTCGTCAATTTTGGGACATATGGATTGGTATCATCTTAAAATTTGTTCATTTGCCTACTTTCAATTTAAAAAAATACCCATCAGTCCAGAAAAGAACTCAAGATATTTGCGATTGAAGGAGTTGAGGTCGCCTAGTTCCAGTGGTGAAATATTATGCGAGAAAATAGCTGCCAAAGTTTGGGAACTCCAGTAGCCAAAGAGTTCCTGAAAATTGAAAAATGACATATTTCGAGCCTCTAATCAACGTTTTTCAGTAAAATTCACACGGAAATGTGTTTTCATATGGACATAAAAGGGGTTGAGCCAAAGAAGAAAAATTCTATGAAAATTGTCGAGGTTCAAATCCTGATAGAGACCCACCCTCACAGCCGTGCTTTGATAGTCGAAGCAGACTTTGTGCTGTTGATGCTAGAGAGTTGAGCAGAGTAAACTTGATTCTCCGTTTGGACTTCTCTTTTGACATCCACCCTTTGGCGCTCATAATATTATGACCTTATGCATTTGCGAGCGCCGTAAAACCTTACTATAACAAAACAAAACGTTCATATGACCTTATGCAGTTGCGAGCGCCGTAAAAGCTTACTAAAACAAAACGTTCATATGACCTTATGCAGTTGCGAGCGCCGTAAAAACTTACTAAAGGAAAACAAAACGATCATAATTATGACCTTATGCAGTTGCAAGCGCCGTAAATACTTACTAAAACAAAAAGAATCAAGTAACAAAGAGCTCAAACACCGGGTTATACACGGGCCATTATGTCGCAGAGTCCCCATGCCCCCACCCCATCTCATCTACACATCGTTACAGAATATAAAAAAAAATAGATGCCATTGATGACGTCACATATCCGGTCACGTGTCTCACGTTCAGATAATTGGAATATCAGGAGAAGTAATTACAATAATATCATAACAGCGAGAAAATAAAGACCAATATCATAACAGCGAGAAAATAAAGACCAATATCATAAGAGCGAGAAAATAAAGACCAATATCATAATAGCGAGAAAATAAAGACCAATATCATAAGAGGGAGAAAGTAAAGTATTAATATCGCAAGAGAGAGAAAAACGTGCAATATCACAAGGGTGAAAAAGCAAAGTATACCACGGAGCGGTAAAGTCCCGAACTGAGTACCATAACAGCGAGAATGTGAACATATCAGAAGGGCGGAAAAGTAACGCAACATACGACAAGACAGAGCGGTTCTGTGGACATTTCATTCACTATCAATCATCATTAGAACGAGAAAGAAATGCGCGATAGGGTCTGTTACAAGAGCGAGAAAGTAAAGCGCAATATTACAACAGCGAGAAAGTAAAGCGCAATATCACAACAGCGAGAAAGAAAAGCGCAATATCACAACAACGAGAAAGTAAAGCGCAATATCACAACAGCGAGAAAGAAAAGCGCAATATCACAACAGCGAGAAAGTAAGCGCAATATCACAACAGCGAGAAAGAAAAGCGCAATATCACAAGAGCGAGAAAGAAAAGCGCAATAATATCACACAAGTGAGAAAGTAAGGCCCACTATCATAAGCGTGGTTCTGTGACGTATAATTTAGCACATCGTTAGCGCGACAAAACTGAGGCCATCAGCCATCAGCACAGACTGGTTATTATAGATCTAGTCGTCTTCTAAACCAATACAGCTTTCTCTCTCGTAAAAAAAAATAGATGGAAAACGATATTATACTTCTTTCCATCCTTCATCTAAAAGGGGTATTACACGGTCATTTACAACTGACAGCTGTCTGTCCTCTTTGTGATAAGAAATTATACTACAGGATGCAATCTTGATTTTTTTAAAAGAAAAAAAGACTTCTTCATTTTTTGTGGTCTTTAAAATCCAACAAGAAAAAGAGTCCACCGCGAGTAATTTTCTGAGATTTTGACACTCTGGTTCCGAATTTTATTTTATTTTCACGATTAGGCGTAGTTTTCAGTAAGCTTATAACTGAAAATTTTACCGTTGTTGGACTGAAATAAATGTGGCTGATTGTCCGGCCGTTCAAAAGCTACAGAAACCAGACAGACAGACAGACAGACAGACAGACAGACAGACAGACAGACAGGCAGACAGACAGACAGACAAACAGACAGACAGACAGACAGACAGACAGACAGACAGACAGACAGATGTTTGTGCGTCAGGTCACTGGAACAAGACAAGTCTGTGTATACAGTACAACGACAACAGCAACAACACACAACAGCAGCAACACCAAGAGCAGCAACAACAACAACAACATCAACAACAACAATAACACAACACAACAAAAAGAACAACAACAACAACAACAACAACAAAAACAGCAACAGCAACAACAACAGCAATAAAACATTTACAACAATAACAAACAAAAACACCAAAAGCAAAACAAAGCAAAACCACCGCCCGCCAAAAAAAACAACTAAAACTAAAACAACTCACATTGCAAAAACAATGAATATTCTCGTCGGAGAAAAGCGATATGTGAGACAGTGTGGTGGAATCAGGCTCTCGTCAATTTTTGGGCATGTAGAGTTATTGGTATCATCTTAAAGCTTGTTCATTTGGCTTTATTTGAATGGAAAAAAAATATCCATTAATCTTGAATAGGAGTTGAGGTATGTGCGAATGAAGGAGGTGGGGTCACCTGTTTTCAGAGGTAAAATTAGTGAGAAAATGGCCGCTAAAGATGATTTATTTCCTTATTTTAGTAGTCCGTGGTAACTGAAAATTTACATTTTTTTGCGCCTTTAACCAACGTTTTTCTGAAATATCCACACAGAAATTACTTCTTTAACGGGCATGAAAGGTGTCGAGCCAAAAAACAAAAAATTGATAAAAATTCTCAAACCTTTTGAAAAATGCAAGTTTCTTCACTTTGATTGTTTTGACGAGAGCCTGATTCCACCACGCTGCCTCACATATAAAAAATGGTTTTGGTTACAAAAACAACCCCCCCTCCAAC